AATAAATCTCATAAAATCAGTGAAGTCAAAATTTGTACGTAAAGTCTATCTATAAAAAAAAAGTCAAATTCAAAATTCCTTATCTAATTCCTTCTTTTTCTTATCTAATTCATTCTTTTCCTTATCTATTTTTTTATTATCTAATTGTATGAAATTATGTTCTGGTTTTGTTCAATCCTCTAATTGTATTTGTATTATATTCCATAAAATCGGGTTAATAAAAAAAAATCCCATAACATCCGATAAGTAAAAAAACAAAGTACGTAAAATCTTTACTAAAATAAAAAGGCTTTTTTATCTAATTTATTATCTAATTGTATGGAAATATGTTATGATTTTATGGTATGTATTACAAATTGTGCACCCGTGTTCAGGAGCTACTTAACGGGCAAACTCTGTGGAAATGACTCATTTAGTGCTTCTGTCCCGTGCATACGGTAGTATTTTTATTACACATACTAGAAAATTGTGCACCCCGTGCATTGCACGAGCTCTGTACTAATAAATGACCTTAAAATTGTGCACCCCGTGCATCACCCGTGTTCACATTTTGGCCTATTACAAGTCATGTACTATATATATTCCGTACATTTTTTATTCATTTATATAATTATAAGAATGGATATTAACTTTAAAATTGTGCACCCCGTGCATCGCACGAGATTTGTACTAGTCAATCTTTAAAAATCATATCAACACACTAATTGTGTTATATACTACCACAATAATGCTCACCTACCCACGATGGACACATGTTAATATGTCTACTTAGTGGCACGCACACATTGTGACGTATTTTTTTGAACATATTAACATCCTCAATATGTGCATTCCACATAAATAATGAACATATTAACATGTGTTTATCGTGGGTAGATGAACATTATCCTATACTACCGATTTAAAAAAAAAATATTGTATTTTATTAACAAATACCATATAAAATGTAAGAAAAAAAGGCAGGAGATACAATGTCAAATGAAAAAAAAAAAGATATCACGTGTTGACATGTTATTGAAGAAATCGGTATTCTCACTATCAACTATATGTACTTGCTTCACGCTTTACGAATCATAATTTCATTTAAACTTGTACTTGTATGTTGGGTTGAAACAATTCAAATACAAATACTAACATTTAACATACAAATATGCATTTTTATACAAAACAGTTAAATTTGATGTATATCGATAGGATACACACGAACTACGTGATTATCCTTAACTTAATCAACAACCTCCCCAAAATAGCTGGCCAGTCACCGCATGCACCTCTCTCCACGTGTGCGAATCCTCTGAATTCCCGGCTATCTCACCGCCACGCGTCCTCAGACAAAACACGCTCCCCTCTACAAATTCCGCCATGCCCACGCTCCAAACCACAAACCAATGGCTTCCCAAGACCTCAAACGCCGACCCCAACCCGAATCCGTAACCCGAACCCACCAACAACCTCCCGCCGCCGCCGCCTCCCGCCGCGGGAAATTGACCGCCGGCCGCGGCCTCCGATCACTGACCGCCGCCCTCGCTTTCCCCATCTCCCTCTCCGTCCTCGACATATACCTCTTCGGGTCGGCCGCCCGAAAACCCTTCTACTTCCCGCCTTTGTGGGCCCTACATCTGGCCTGCCTGGCATCGGCCCTCCTGTCGGGCCTGTCCGCGTGGCTCGTATGGGCCGACGGTGGATTCCACCGCTCGCCCAACGCACTGATGCTCTACCTGGGCCAGCTCGCGGTTGGGCTGGGTTGGTACCCGGTCGTGTTCCGGGCTGGGGCGGTTTGGGCTGGACTCGGCCTGTGCGTGGCCCTGTTCGGGGCGATGATTGGGTGCGAGAGGACGTTTGGGAGGATGAACCCGATAGCGGGGGGTTTGGTGAGGCCGTGCCTCGCGTGGGCCGTGCTGATTTCCGTTTTGAATGTTAGGCTTTTGTTGTGTTAGTGATGGTTTTTGGTTGGTTTGAGTGTTTTTAGTTACTTCGAGTTTGTGTTGATGGTGTGCAGTGAAGAAATATATATGTGGTAGATAATTTGTGGAGATGAAAATCTGCATGTTTTCTTGATTTTTTCATGTATGTTTGAACTTTGGCTACGAACACCTTTCATACGTGATGTGTGATGATGACAATTGGCAAGCTAATAAATGAATGAATGAAGAACAAAGCAAAGCTTTCTGAAAAAAATACATGAGATTTAGGATTTTTTTTTTTTTTAATAGCCCGTCGCGATATTCGGAGTTTTAGAGTGTTTTCTAGTACTCGAATCATGACCTTACCTTACCTTACCTTAAGCGACAGTAAGCGACATCAAGTTGTTTATTATTTGAGCACCAACCGAGTTGGTAGATTTAAGTATTTTTTAGTTGAACCAAGAATGCCTTACACTTGAACGTCTCAAACTTGCTCCAAGAATAAAGATTCAAAATCAGAAAGCCTACAAAATAGTAAGAGAACAAGCAAAAACTGTTGAAATACAGAGCTAAGATATTTTTGGAACCATTTTGATACATTCAGAAAAATACAGAAAAAAAAAAATAAAAAATAATACGATAGTAATAAACTCTCCCATATCCAACTAAAACACTGCATAAAACCAAAAAAAAA